AGCTCTTGGTGGGATGAGCCACATGAACCTTTTATTTATATATTTTTAAACAGATGATTTGTTAAAAAAATTATTCTCTTATAACTTGTAGGTGCTATGTCACACTTAGACATGCTTCTCTAAGATATTAATTTCCATGTGATTTATTTTATGATTTTATTCTTTTCCATTTAAATCTTTCATTCACTGGAATATTATCAGGGTATAAGTTTTGAAGTATCAATCCAAATTTAGGATTACTACATAGTTACCTCAAATCAGTTAATGAATAATATTTTTAAATGATACAAGATGCCTACTTTATCATATATTTAATTGTCATATTTTTTCAGTTTGTGGACTTGCTAATCTAATTCATAGCTACACATGAACTTGTAATACACTGTTAACTTATTAAGGCTTTCTATTGAATATCTGATAGGGCTAATTACTACTCACTCATTAGTCTTTTTCAGGTATTTCCTAGTATTTATGTTTGTCATCCTCCACCTCCAAGAACTTTAAAATCAATTTACTAGCAGAAAAAGAAAGCTCCTTTAAGTGTTTTGATGGAATCACAAGATCACACTCAAAGGTAAACTGAAAGAGAGCCCAAATTTTCATAATGTTTTCTTCTCACCCAAGAATTGGTGCCTCACCCTTGGTTTTGGCCTTCCTTTGCATTTCTTGAATTTTAAAGTTATCTTTGTATACTTTGCTTGTTTCTTGTTACATTTATTCATAGACATTTTACCTATTCTTGTCACTGATTTGTGGAGTCTTTTGTCTTTTGATTGCTGTGAGGATTTATGAAAAACTATGAATGTAAAGCCAAGCTACTTTATTGATTGTTCTTATTGTTTGTAGTAAATTTTCAGGTGATTCTCTTGGGTTTCTAAATATAGGATCATATCATAGTTATAATTTGATGTACTTTTAAGTATGTATAACTGTATTTTCTTATCTATTTGTATAACAATTTCTACAAGGCAATCTTAGGTAAAATAGTGAGAACTTTGTAGACAAAATAGATTTCTACAGTCAGTGGAAATGCTTGCACTGTTTCTTTTTAAGGATTATGCTGGTTTGGGAATTAAAACAGATATGTATATTTTAAACGTATCCAGAAAATTTCACCTATTCTTACTTTTGGGATTTGTTGTTGTTGTTATTACAAGGACTGAACCAAGGGTGCTTTACCATTGAGCCACATCCCCAGCTCTTTGTTTTGATACAGCATCTCTCAATAAGTTGTTCAGGACCTCACTGGATGGTTGAAGCTGGCCTTCTACTTGTATCCTCCTGCCTTGGCCTCCCAAACTCCTGGAATTAGAGGCATGTGCCACCATACCCAGCACTTTTGGTAATTTTAAAATCAAAATGTATGTTTAATTTTGTCAAATGTTTATTTAGCATTTATTAAAATGATCAAACAATTACATTATTTATTTAGATATTCACACAATTATATTTATGAATATATGAATACTGATCCATTCTTGAATTCCTGGTATATTTCAGATTTTTATTGCATTTAAATTTCAGATTGCTTTTCTTTTAAAAAATGAAATTATTGTAGTTCTCTTATTTTGAACAATTCTTACTGGGTTTTGGTATCAATATCAATATTCAGTTTGCTTCATTTGAAAAATTCTGGAAGATTTTTGTGTTCCAGAACAATTACACTGACATTATCTATACTTTGATAAAATTTTCTAGTGAAATCATTTGAGCTTCATTTTGATAGAAGCTCTTCAAATAACACTTTATATTTAGGTCAGTTTTATAGATTATATTTTTCTAGACAATTATACATTTTAACTAGACCTTTTTTTTCTTTGTGTAGATTTGAGCAAAGTAGCACTTATTTAGTACTTTTTTTTTTTTTTTGTCCGTTAATGTGTTTAAGACTAGTTTTTCCTCTTGAGTAGTGCTTATGCTGTATCCCACGGACAGTGTATGCAGTGTTTTCACTTTTCTCCATGATTCAAGAGTTGTTTGAAAAGTTTGAAAGAGGTAGGGTTTTGTTTTATTTTAAGTTCTGAATTTCAGATACTTGATTTTTTTTCTGGTTTTGTTATGAAGCTCAAATTTTATGACATTATGATATAAATTTAACTGTATTTTTCCAATCTTTGAAATTTAGTGATTTTTTTTCTTGAGGCCTAATGTACAGTTAATTTTTGTGAATGTTTCCCTGAAGTTGGAACAGAAGATAAATCTCTGTTTCAGAGGACAGAGCTCAGTATGCATATTTATCAATTGTAGCATTGTGATTTAGAGTACAAACTCTGGAGCCAGACTAATGGGAATCCCAAATGCACTACTATAATTTTTTACAAAGTACTTAATTTCTTATGCCTCAGTTTCTTCACCTGAAAATGTCTAAAATAATGGCATCCACCCTTTAAGATTGTTTTAAGGATTAAATGTATTAATAAGTACAAAACATTTAGAATGGCATCTGGAATGAAATGAATACACTATATATGTTAGCTGTTATGGTTATTTAATTATTCTAGAATAACACTACTTTTCAATTAAAATATAATATTAGCCAGATATGCATTTTATTTCTAAACTATCCATGTTAAGAAAGCATAAAAAATGTGTAAATTTTATTTAACCTATTGTGTCAAAAGTGTTAGCATTATAACATGTAGTCAATACAAAAATTATCAATGACATGCTTATCTTCTTGATTTTTGTACTAATTCTTTGAAATCTGGCATGTTCTGAACTTATAACAATTTTTTTATTTACATATGACAGCAGAATGCATTACAATTCTTACTACACATAAAGAGCACGATTTTTCATATCTGTTTGTATATAAAGTATATTCATGCCAATTCTTGTCTTTATACATGTATTTGGATAATAATACCCATCACATTCCACCATCATTTCTAACCCCATATCCCCTTTCTTCCCCTCGACCCCTCTGCTCTGTCGAGAGTTCATCTATTCCTCTCACACTCCCCCTCCCTATCCCACTATGAATCAGCCTTCTTATATCAGAGAAAACATTCGGCATTTGGGTTTTGGGGATTGGCTAACTTCGCTTAGCATTGTCTGGATTAGCTATGTTTCAAGTATTCAATAGCCACGGTAGCTAGTGGCTGCCCTACAGGATGGCACAGGTCCCATGCCTTGTAAGTACTTGGTACTGGGCTAATCATGAGCTGAGTGAGGTGAAAATGAATATCTTCTACCATTAACATATTTCTGTGTATTTATCTTTGAATCTCCTCTGCTTTTTCTTCTGTAAATAGTGATCCTATGAATTTGATATCAAAACATTTATAATTATTTTATTTTTATTGCAAACTATAAACTTTAGCCTTAAAAATGTGTGACTTTGTCTTTGTACCTTGAATATTATGTCATACTATATTTATGACTGATGTTTTCTCTTTGCTTCATTTGCCTGGTATATCTTTTCCCATATCTTAAATTTTTTAGCCAACTGAATCATTTTATTATAGCTTTCTTACCTCTTGCCTACATAGAGTTGGATGTTGGATTTTCTTTGTTATGAGTTGTAATTTTTATTTTATTTATTTATTTATTTTGAGATGAGGTTTTGCTGTGTTACCCAGGCTGGTCTCTAACTTCTGGGTCTAGGCTCAAGTGATCCCAAATGCTATGCCCAATTTGCCTTGTTTTTAATAGAAGAATTTAGCCCACTTAATTTTCAGCCTTTATTCAAAATGTGTGAGAATATCATGTACAACCACAAGATTGGGATCCTAATTAGAATACGTTATATTCTGTGTATATATACTATGTCAAAATGTGTGAGAAGCTCAGATAGGGAAGGAGCCAGGATAGTGTTTGGGGCAGGTGAAATTTTTCTTGTGATCTCAAATTTTGAGTGTGAGTTCAATAAGCCTTGTAGGGACTTGTAACTGTGGCATTTTTTTTTTTTTTAATCTTCAAGATTAGCCCTCTACTGTCATAAAAAGTGTTTCTGGCCAATATTGTTTGCCTGGTATGCCCCTGATTTTATTCTCAGAACCAAATCAGGCCCAGAAAACTCTAGGTACCTGTTAGTTATATATCCCTGTCCCCTCTATTACTCATCAGAGTGTGCCCCTTCTCTGATGGATATTTGTTGCTGCCTGTTTTTGATTGTTGTTGGTTGGTTTGTGAGATATCAGACCTATTGAGTCCCTCTCTACCATAGCAATTTCTATCTCTGCCCTCCTTAATCCTCTCTGATTAGCCTCTGATGCCCTTCTCTATTGAGCCCAGGTTTTCAAAACTTTCCTGGTTTCTGTGCAAGTGAAACTTGTTTTTTGTTTTTCTTCTCATTGTTATTTTTTAAATGATTTACAGTAAGAGAATGAATCTTTTTCCTGAAACTTAAAAAAAAAAACAAAAAAAACAAAACTAGAAACCTCCAGAAAAGCTTTTAAAATAGTACAATGAACATCCATATCCATGAACCCTTTACTAGAGTCAATATTTTAATATTTTGTTCTATTGTTTTATCTCTGTAAACACATTGAATTTTTTTTTTAAACTGGACTATTTGAAAGTATATGACTTGATTGAACTTACTTCCTGAATCATTCTAGAGTTCTGTAGTCATTCATTTTGGCAGAAGTGATGCTTTTACCCTAGGGATACTTAAACTTCTACCATCAGTAACAGTTTGGTGTCCCCTTTCCTAAGAGTCCTGCCTTCATTTTTAAACAGCCACCCCCTCAGACCATTGGTGGGGCTGCGACCAGGTAATCTGAGGACAGTGTTGCTCAGGAGGCAGCCATTCAACTCAGAGGATTCAAATGCCGGTAACAGCTGCTTCAGTTTGGGCAGATCTAAAGCATCAGTCTAATCTGCACAACCTTCAATGAAGACTCAGTGGAAACGTCTAGTAAATCCTGCCCTGTACTACCTAATATTCCCGGGTAAGAGTTTGGTTTTAGTTTTGGTTTTGACTTTTAAGGTGACCATGATCATCAAACTTACAAAACAAAGGTCTGGAGGAAAAATTGTAACCACTCTTTTTGGTCCATTGTGGCATTGCCTATTTTGTTTATTTTACTCATTATGGAAAGTTGATAGATTGGAAGCATCAGAGTCACCATTCACTTATGATCACATTACACAATTAAAATTATAAAGCATCTTCATTATGGATTCAAATTCCTCATTAGCAAACTAATAATAGTCATGTGTTTGTGGGTCTACACATAGTATGTACACATAGCTTATACACATAGAAACATTTGTTTTTGTCTTTATTTTTTACTCAGGTACATTTAGTATCTTTGTTACAGGAAGGTTGACAATATAAAACATTTCCTATATACGAAACTCATAAATATCCCAACTGAAAGTATCAAGTTAAATAATGCCTTTGAGCAGAAAAAGAACAGTCCAACATTTATTAACAAGTTTCTTCATGAATTTTCTTGAGTTTTTTTTTTTTAACACAAGAAGGTTTCCTGTACTTAAATTGTCATTTTCTGTTGCTGTTAACATGTATTTCATTGCATTTTTGAATAGGAAGAGATAGCCTATTTACATGGAACCAACACCTGGAGATGGCTGTTTGCCCTCTGAAGTTCCAGTTCTCTTATTTTCTAACTTAATCACAGCTCCCTCAAAACTAATACTTTCATTTCAGTCCAGTCTCTGACCCCGTTTGGCACAAGTCAGTTCTAGCAAATTTGGAACCATCTTTTAAATCACTGGAGCTATTTTGCCCTCACATCCACGGACTCTCAGTTCCCCAGGGCCAAGACCAAGTCTTGACTCTGTGCATCTAGCACAGGCCCTGCCCCAAACAGGTGCTCAACATGTTTGCTTGCAAAACCTTTCTCAACTCTCCTCAATGAAGGAGAGAGAGAACAAAGCCTTTACTGAAGTGACTGCCCCACACAGAAGCACTGTCAGCTTGACATACACTAGATACGCTTCAGCCTCCAATGTGGACCAGTGGTACCTCTGTGGAATACAGTTTTTGACTGGGGATACAGATCATTTCCTTCACCCTCAGGCTCAATCCCATCTGGACTTTTGAACAATCTTGCATTAGGGTATCTATTCTCTAATCATTTAAGAAATAGACCCACATCTAGTTATTTTGGGTCACAAGAAGATATTTAAAGTATTAATCTGTTAAAATATTAAAATATTTTTAAAGTTCAAATAAAACATCAAAGGCAATTATTATAATTTTCTTTCTATGAATATTCTTCAATTATGGATGAGAATTTATTAGGAAGAGTACAGAGTTATCTTTCAGAACCAAAGTTTTCTTTAAAAACAAACAAGGATCTTAAAATCACTTTGGGCTTTTAAAAATTGGGGGTTGTTTTGCATTTTCCCTGGTGGCTTGGTTAGTGTTAAATTTTGTCACCCAAACCTTGAATTAATTATTCCTATTTTGGAAGTCTTCAAAAAGATGCATGAGCTCAGTCAGATGGGACAGGTAGAGTTCATTTTCCCCCATGGCTATTTGAATATTAGGAGAGCTTTCCTGGCTATGTCATGGCCCCTTAGTGATGCAGAATTGGTTAAGACTTTGGTGATCTACACATGTGTAACTTATTACACATCACAGCAGCCACACATGTGGTAGAAGCAATGTAAACAGCTTCTCCTTGGAGCTGATCATCAGAAAAGCCACTGCCCTCCAGGATCTGAAGAGCTTTCTCATCCCTAAGGAAAGGATAAGACCCGGTCCCATCCAAAAAGCACACAAAAGGACCTCTAAATAATTCCTCATCACACACCCCTACAAATCATACGCGCACGCACACACATACACATACACACACGAGGTCTATAAAAACACTGAAATAATGTTCTCACAAAAACAGCAAAGTCTGAGTTTAGAGAATGAGTATCAAGTACATGCGCAAAAGTTTCCATTTAACCCGTATATAAACGGCTCTAGAGAAAGATGCATGAGAAAACTACTGACTACATAGGTTTTTTATGGCACCTAGCCAGGGACAGTGGAGGAGAGAATAAATAGTTCGTAGTGAGGGCAAATCCTCTGTCCCATAGCCCAGTCAGGGCGATCCAATGACCTCAGGAGGCAGTAAACACCCAGAGATTCTTCCAGATAACTCCCTGAGATTGGAGAGTTGTTCAGAGTTTCTCGTCTTGATCCTTTCCAAAGCCAACTTGATTGCCGCCACTTTCCTCAGCCTGAAGTCAGCCATCCTTCAAAACAAATCAGAACCCTGTTGGTAAATGGGTCTCATTTCACAAAACAGAGGTGTTCCTAGAAAGTGGCTTTTTAGTTGAATTTAAGGGAACATCTCAAATGATCAGTACCTTGTAATCTCAGGATTTAGAGGGACTGAAAAGATCATGTAGCCCACCCAGCACATAGAATCTCAAAGACTCCCATGTAGAGTCCAGCTGTGTTTCTTAAAGAATACCCTACAAAACCATCTCTCAGAGGTGCCTTGTTAAAGGCTTCTCTCTTTGTAATCCACAATATAAATTTGTATATGACAAAAAATTTACATACATATATATGTATGTATGTATGACTGTATGTATATGTCATATATAATTTATAAACATTGAAATTTGTTTATTCCAGTATTTCCCAGTCCTTCTAGGCTAAATATTTGTTTGCTAGATTAATTAGTTTTTGTGATGCTGAGAATCAAACCCAGAGCCTTTTATATGCCAGGCAGGTACTCTGCTGAGCTAAACTACCAGCCCTGTTGGCTAGATATAATTTAGCACAGATAAGGAAAATTACATAGGAAATACACATATTAGTTCTGCCAAGAGAGTAATCTTCACCTGCCCTATAATCTAGAGGCTTAGTGGTCACTGTGTGATGATATCCACTGATACAGAAATCATTTATGTACCTTTATACTTTAAAATGACTATAAATTCTGGAACTCCATTGAAGGCAATACACAGATTAAAACACAGCTATTTTTTCCTGTTGCTCCATTTTGAATCTATTCGCCATGTGTTGAGAAATGGTTCCCTAATTCAGATGTCAATGGTGGGGCCTCTGGGAGGTGATTAGGATTGGAGGAGGTCATGAGGGTGGGGCCTCCATGTTAGCATTAGTGGCTTTATGATAAGAAGGACCTGCAATAGCCTGCTTGTTCTGTCTCACCATGTGATGCTACCCTCTGCCCTGTTATGATGCAGCAGTACAAACTTAACCAGATGCCAGCAGCTCCAGAACTGTGAGTTAATAAACCTTTATTCTTTGTAAATTACCCAGTCTATGATAATCAGTTAGAGCATAAGAATATGGACTGATGCATCTAACTTTATCATTTTTAATTATAGGACTGGTAACTATCACTTGATATATAATATTTAATGCACAGATCATGTCTTCTAATACCATTTATTGATCTTGTCTGGCAGAAAAATTCTTGAATTTGAAAACTCCTTTGTCTACTTATTCAACTCTTGTGTATAATTTTGTCCCTTTTTGTTTGTTTGTTCTTTTTTGCTTTTTCCCTGAACAAGTTGAATTAATTGTCTTCTCATTTGTTACTGATTTGGATTGGAGTGAGACATATACCACATATATATATTTTACGTAAGCGCATACTATTTTATTAATTAGCAAAAATGAAATTAAATACTAGTGGTCAGTGAACCAACCCTATGATTAATGAGAGGAGAAAATTGAAGGCCTAAGAGTACATTTGAATATAAAGGCTTAATTTCTAAAGAACAAAATTAAATTCTCAAAAACTAGGATTTTTGTCTATATTTACTAATAGTGATTATTGATCAGGAAACATAAGTCCAAGAGCATGGGGTAGAACTGAAGTCAGGAAACCTTACCTATGTAAGTGACTGTTCTACACCTAACAGATTGTGAATTTCTCCTATCTCAGGAGCATGGTTTAAGTACTTGGATTATGATAGGTCAGGGGAAGTGAGTGCATGATCAATTTCACTGTTGTTAAAAAACAAGTGCTCAGGCTGGGGATGTGGCTCAAGCGGTAATGCACTCGCCTGGCATGTGCCAGACACTGGGTTCGATCCTCAGCACCACATAAAAATAAAATAAAGATGTTGTGTCCACTGAAAACTTAAAAATAAATATTAAAATTCCTCCCTCTCTCTTTTTCTCTTTAAAAAAAAATAAAGTTGTTGTGCCACCGAAAACTGAAAAATAAATATTTTTAAAAATTCTCTCTCTCTCTAAAAAAAAAAAAAAAGCAAGAAGCAAGTGCTCCCCTGGGTTCAAAGATTTCCAAAAATAGACACCATTCTATGCTCCAGGTGGGTGTCCTACAAGTCCACCCAAAGAAACTCTTTTTTCTGAGATTTCAGTGGCACTGTGGTGCTCATGGAAGCAACCTCTGTAGGCTGAGTTAGTGCATGGGACGACTAACAATTTCAGACAGCATCCAGAGAATCTTGTGCAATGATTCTTTGCTTTTTTTTTTTTTAATCACATTGAATATATTCAATGCTATGAACTCCTCTGCTGCCCCAAAATGAGTATATCCATCTATTATTTCATATAAAATAAAAAGCACTTTCATGAACTCCTTTGAAACCAATTTTTTTTAGACCTCAGGTTAAAAGAGAACTTGCCCTAGAATATCTTTCTCTGGTGCCAAATCATAAACTTTTTCTTATTCACCTTTATATTACCAATTTGGACTATGCTAGGCCAGTATAAGTGGAAGGAGAGGATTGATACATGTGCCAAGATGATCAGTAGGAGAAATGTTAAGTCAGCATTGTGAATCTATAGAGACAGAAAGTAAATTAGTTGGCTACTTATGGCCAAGGAAAGATGGAAGAGAGTGACAGCTAAGGGTTTCTTTTTGGAATGATGAAAATGTTTTAAATTAGATTGCCATGATGGTCTCAATGCTGTGAATATACTAAACATCACTTTACATTGGTGAATTTCATTGCAGATGAATAATATTCCAATAAGGAAATTTTTATTTTTATTTTCTTTTACTATTTAGCATATATGAGAGTCTGTGTTCTATCCCCAGCTCTGGAAAAAAAAAAAAGAAAGGAGGGGAGGGAAAGGAAGGAAGGAAGGAAGGAAGGAAGGAAGGAAGGAAGGAAGGAATAAATTAATTAATAAATAAATTAATTGCTATGGTTTGAATAAATGTCCCCACAGACCCATAAGTTAAAAGCTTGGTCCTCAGCTTGGCTCCATTAAAAGGTGGTGGAAACCTTCAGCAGGTAGAGCCTAGTGAGAGATTTTAGGTGTACCCTTGAAAGAATTGTAGGATGCCAATCTTTTTCAGTCTCTTTTTGCATGCTTGTCATGAGGTGAACAGCTCACTCCACCATGTGACCCTGTTTCCCCTGCTGCCCTCCATGATGTATTGCCTCACCAGAGGCCCCAAAGCAATATGCTTACCCGGCCATGGACTGAAACCTCCAAAACTATGAGCCAAAATAAACCTTATTTCACTATAAGCAGATTGTTTCAGGTATTTGTTATAGTGACAGAAAGCTATCTAATACAGTTTTATAAGAAAAGAAAAATGGCTCAACAAGAACCTATAAGCAGACCTGGGGTTGTAGCTCAGTGGTTGAGGGCTTGCCTAGCATGCCTGAGGCACTGGGTTCAATTCTCAGCACTGTATATAATGAATAAATAAAAAAATAAAGGACCATCAAAAACTAAAAAAAAAAAAAAAAAAAAAAAAATTTTTAAAAGAACCTATAACCAACTTCACATGGCTGGAGGTAGTACGTGACCTCCTGATTGTCATCAATGAGGAAGGAGCTAGATAAATTTTGGTTAAAGGCCATTAAGCTATTCCTCATTGTGGGAAACTATGGAGACTGTGTACTTAGGTCTCCTAAAGAGTGGAATATGGAGGACCACCCATAAGAATAAAGAGCACTGAGTTGATTCCATAGAATCACTGCTAATCCACTACTCCCCTTATGAGAATGATTCAACAGGGAGAGGATGGCTGCCCTCCATGACATTTCCTTAAAAGTTAGAGGAGTATGACACCAATTTCCCTCAAATCCTTTTTTTTAAAAAATACACTATGGACTATTGACTAATGAACTTATCTAACTCCATGTTGAATCAATTTATATTTATAGCATGTTCTAATCAATTTATATTTATAGCATGTTCCATATGCATCCCAATTTATTTTGGATTATCAGAACGTAATTCTTGTGTGGAGGCAGAGCCTGTTTTATAGAACCTTGAGGTCTCCATATCTCTGATCTCATCACCCTTTTTCCCTATGATGCTGTCAAAAGACTTTTTTAGTAGGGGAAAGAGTTTCCAGTTCTCCTCCTCTATTGACTAGTCTTTTATTTTCACTGTCTCTCGAGTTTGAGCCCTGGTTCTAGCTTGAAAAACAAAGTTGATCTGTAAAGTACCCTGGTCTTTTGGATACATGCAAGAGTTATGGGTCTCTGGGGTAGCATATCAGTACACACACATGACAACCTTTGCAAAGTTTCAGAACTCACTCCAGTTCAGTTATATATATGATGATACTGGAGTCCAAAGAGGGGGGGGAAAAACACAATTTTTCCAGGGTCATGTAACAAGCCAACAGCAACACTAAATATGTCTTCATTCCCAACCAGACTGCTTTCAGAATTATCAGGCTATCTTCTAGACCCACAAAAATACTAATCTCAGCACTGTCAGCCTTCTTCTGATGGTATGTGTGGTTTGACCCAGTACTGACCTCACCATCCTGTTTGGTCTCGCCCTGACTTTCATCCTGGTCAGATTCGAACTCAGTGCCTCGGTCTACAACATCCACGCCAGCTTGCACCCTGGGCTTCTCGTTTTCCCACTTGGCAAAGCCTTTGTCCTTTGCTGTTTTGTCATGGAACTTGGATTTCATTTTGGGGAAGGTGTGGGATCCTGAGTCCCCCCAGCCAGCCTCTGACCAGACGGGTTCAGTCTGAGTGGCCTGGCTGGTGGTGGCCCGCTGTAGCCTCACAGAGATCTTGCGAGAAGAGCCTGTCACCAGGGTGATGGCTCTGCTGTCCAAGTCCCGGTGTCCAGCAGTAACCCCAGGAAAATCAAACACCTCATCCTGCACTGGAAGGAGAAAGAGGATGATAATTAAAATTTGACTTGTGTCTACCAAAGTGAGTTAACAAATAGCAAGAGTCTGCCATGCAAGGGTCTAGAGGAAAAGACGAGGGACAGAACTAAATTAGCTGCAGGCAAGTGGCCTGTTAGTGAGACCAGAAAGCAGAGTGAAGCCAAGGGAATTAGCCACCGCAGATTGCCCTAAGAAAGGCCTTTGAATTTATACTGACACTGACTGGGTTTAGACCCAGAACCCAAACCAGATGCAGAGGTCAGGAGGTGGGTGGAGAGACACCGTGGCAAGGAATAAAGCAGAGGCATTACCTGGGGGCAGTGAGGGGCTTCCAGGCAGTGATCCATGACTACTGCCCAAGGAGGGTGCCCGGGCAAATCTCCTGCAGGCCAGAACCAGGAGGTCTTTGCATTGTTTGTGACAATTGGCTCCACAGTCTGAAAAATCCCAGACGTGTCACAAAGGATGAGCACAAAGCTGTGTGTCTGGTGCCAGTGCACTGCCAGCCCTCCCCTCCCCAACTCCGGTTTCTGGGTTGAACCTCAGGCCCACAGAGGGGATGTAGGGACTGGGAAAGGGCATGGGGCCTCTCTTGATTCTTGAGGCTTCTAAAGTTCTGATACATTTGCTCAACTTGTCCCTCCACACAAGTCATCAACGTGCCTACAGGGCAAACAAGCAGAGTCTAGCTCAAGAGGTTAGTTGTCTTTGCCCAAAACTAAATGCAAATCATGTGGGGCTGGAGTTCTTTCTCGGACAGAGATGGAATCCCCACCAAGGAGTTCCTGACCAGAATGATGGTGAGAAGCCTCAGCTTCTAGTGTCTCTGGGAACAGCTGCTGTCTCTGATCATTTCAGGTGAGGTGTCCTCCATTCTGTGCTTGTCCAAATTGTTTTTCTTTGTTTCCCAAAATCTTTTCCAGGGCTAGTGATTGTATCACCCTTCCACAATATGACAGTTCAGACAAGGCGGACATATTGTCAATAAGCATGTTCCGTGTTTGACTACAGCTTGGAAATGGTGTGAGATTTCCCATACGATGCTTTGGATTTGGAAGTAGAATATTAATTACTACTTGGGGTAGAAAAATTTGGCCACTTTGGAAGATAGTCCACAATTATTTCATAGGATGAGGGCCCTACACTTCATTTAGAATCAGAAATGATCAGATACAATCATTTCAAAGAGTCCATTTCTCTGGTTTCATCAAAAAGGACCTTTCTATTTTCAATACCTATTTCCCCCCAAAGGTCTTGCTTCACATATCGTCTCAGTGACTTGTTTACTCTATTTTAATACATTTTTGTTTCATTCTGTGTGCCAATAAGAGAAAAAATACTGAATGTACAAATAGAATCCAAGGGTTTAATTTCATTTTTATAAAATGACAGTGGGGTGTGTGTGTATGTGCATGTGTGTCCCTCTCTGTCTTTTAGGGGATGCAGGATAGAAAACAGAATAAAACTGATGATTACTGCTGAGAAATAAGATATTGCCGTTGGAAGTAAAAAGTCTAAGTTGAACCGAGGCACTAGAGGGAAGCACTTGGATGGACCTCCTTCTGAGCACAGGGCTCCCAGGGAAGTTCAGGGAAGCTTTTCTGTTTATAAAAAATGAGGACAAAATGCCGACAGATGGCTGCAGAAAAAGGCACCACAGGCAGAGAACATTCATCTGAATTAAGCATCCACCTGCAATCAAGTTATTTCCTTTAGGTTTTGTTGCTGTTGTTGGTTTTTGTTTGTTTGTTAGGTTTGTGGGGGGAGTTATTTGTTTGTTGGTTTGGTTTTTGAGGCGGGGTCTCATTGTGTTGCTCAGGCTGGCCTCCAACTCCTGATCCTCCCATCTCAGCCTCCTGAGTAGCTGGGACTACAGATGTGTGTCATCATGCCTGGCTAACTTTGTTATGTTTTTCAAAAACATTATCAGATTCTTTTTTTTTTTCTTTAATGGTACTGGGGATTGAACTCAGGGACACTCAACTACTGAGCCACATCCCCAGCCCATTTTGTATTTTATTTAGAGACAGGGTCTCACTGAGTTGCTTAGCACCTCACCGTTGCTAAGGCTGGCTTTGAACTCATGATCCTCTTGTCTCAGCCTCCCAAGCTGCTGAATTATCAGATTCTTAAAAGAACTAGTATTAACAGTGTGTATAAAGTACTCAGCAACTTCTTAAACACCAATAATGTGTAATAATCATGCATATACGAATAGCGACACATTCCTAAGTGCTTATTAAGCGTGCATACTGCATTTGTCAAATAAATATTTATTTAGATATTTATAAATCTCAGTTAAGTGAGAGAAATATAAGAATGAATTCATTGAAAAGGTCAAAATAGATCTGGGGTTGTAGCTCAGTGGTGGAGTACTTGCCTGTACATATGAGGCACTGGATTTGAACCTCAGCACTACATAAAAATAAAAGTAAATAAAATAAAGGTATTGTGTCCATCTGCAACCAAAAAAATTTAAGGGGAAAAAAAAAGGACAAAGTAAGTTTTAAGATTTGTCCTCTTTTTTTTTTTTTTTTTTAAATCATCATCTATGTGGTTCAGTAAAGAAAGAAATAGCTATACTATGTGAGGGTGGGAAAAAATGCCCATATATTACAGAAATGGGTATGTGAGTTTTTTCTCTTGAAGGAAAAATTTCTTATATACAATATTTTAGTCACGTCTGTCTCGCTGGCAAAATTCTTCCATTTCCCACCAAAAACTAGATGCTGATAGTTTACATGGGAACTTAGAGATGAGGGGCTAGATTTATGCAGTGTTGGTTGATTAAAGGTAGTTTGCCATCCTCTTCTAAAAAGCGATAAAATTCTAATTTTGCTTCTCCCAGAAACTCTTTCCTGAATACGTTAACTCTTCGGTTGCCATGGCCCAGGAGAACTCAAGGTCTCAATAATGCCAAGAGCTACTGTGGTTTGACTAGACAAATTTGATTCCTATCCCCAATATCAATTTTTTTAAAAAAATGTTTTTGACAAAATAACACTTATTTACCTTTGCATTTGTATCCTTGCTTGATTATGCCCCAGAGCTGTATAACAAAAGACAAAGAAATGTCAGGGAATCTGCACAGAAATCTGGAAGGAAAACAAGGCAACAGGGAAGAGAAGGAAATCCTGGGAAGCTTCGTGGCTGGTGCAGCACAAACAGGATGTAGCTGCTCTAACACCCTTCCTGTCAGAGAGAACCCTCTCCCAGCCCACTCCAGCTGCGGTGATAACACAAGTTGTACTTCCCTTTTCTTCCTCAAAGCCAAATGGAAGCTGGGATGGGAAACTGAAGTTGGTGCATTTGTTGGACTCTTGACAATGGTCTCTCAGCAAACCACTTGGCCTGTGGGAGCGCCTAGCTCCCTCTGTCTTCTTTCTAATGGCACTGGCTGCTCTTGGCGCCCTCTACAGGAAGTAAAGCAATCTAGGAAGTGCACTTGCCAATCTTGAATTCTGCTAGGTTATTTTCTGAGTAATATCTGTACCCTAAAGAATACAGATGAGGAAAAGGTCTTATTTATTCACGAATTCATTCTCCACAATTGCTCTATGTTTGGCCTGTATTGGGATTGTGGGAGATATAGCTCAGATTCTGCCAGACAAGGAGTTAGTGACTTCTGAGTGGTTAATAAGTAGGAAGTGATTGTTTAATAAGTGTTATTGGAGGCCACTGTTTTGAACTAAGCTGCTACACTGGGTCCCAACAGACCAGTGGAGTTACAGATACAAATGGAGTTACCCATGGTAAAGTTCCA